AAAACAGTGCTGTCAAAATAGTGGAAGAATACCAGACTGAAATAAAACTTAAAATATAAGGTATCATTATTTAAAAAAAAAAAAAAAAAAAAAATTTAATCTAAAGTTTAGTCATTACTGCATGAAATCTTACTCCATCTGGTTGTTTGTGACAGTACAGCAGTACAATAATATATCATATAGGACATATGCATCCAAATCCATATACCAGTTAAGTAGAGGCAAAGAATGAAAATAAAAATGCAGAAACCACCACTATGTAAATTTGTGTTTAAATTAAAAACACACCACACAGCAACAACAGTTAAAAATACATTACTAAAAGTAATTAGTAAAAGTCTAATGCCAAAAACAAAAGGTAAAATTTCTCTCATTGGGTTGAACCATTCTGGGATCCTCTGACAGTAGCATTGCAAATATGTAATGCCAGGAAAAGGATATAACTAGCAGCAGTGTTTCTGCATATAAGCTTTAGTTGCTGAAAATCCAAATGAGAGTATGATCTCCAGGCAAATTATTATAATATTTGAACAGTTTTTGCAAGGACAATTGTTTAGAAGATGCAAGCACTGTATTCATGCACATTTTGCAGTGAGCAGGCCAAAAATTAAAGACAACTCAGCAGGCTGGATCCAAAGACTTGACCTTCCCTTGGCAAATAAATTCATGCTTATCAGTACAATCAAAAAAATAGAAAATAAATAAATAAAATGTTTTGACTGAATTTCATATTATGACAGAGCATACGAGTTGCCTAATGGTGTTCTGAGACACGTAATATCTGGGTGTTATTCCTCCAAATAGCATGCGAGTTTTAGTCTTCCAAAAATAACATAACTAGTGGTGTTTTAAGTTTAAAGCCAACCATTTATATTTGGTAAACTGTCAGGCAGCGTAAAAACAACAGGAACCTCTACAGTGCATATGTCCATTTAAAAGAAAAAGGGGGAAAGTAGTAAGGGCTAAGCTTTTGTCCTTGGAATGGGTCACTTTGTCCACGTGTGTTGACATTTTCACTGACCAGTCATGTCTACATACACATAAGGAGAGACAAGTTTGTGTGCAGACAATTGACACACGTTAGGCCAAAATTAACCAATTCATATTAGACAGTGATACCAGTAAAGAAAAGAAAGCATATGACAGCTGGTATTGCTGACTGTTGTTTAGATTCCACTCCAAAGAGCTTGTGTGTGTCATCTTACTGGGGCTTTATACATCAAGCTCTCCTCACCTGATAGTTAAGGAAACTGAGCCTCACCTTCATCATTTCTTGTTTTCAGAAACTTAACTGTACCTACAATGCAGAACTCTCTCCCCCTTTAGTCAAATACCATCTTGATGTCCTTAAACTAACCCCTGATTTGCTGGACAAAAACATTGTGTGTACAATTTAACAGTTAATCTAAACACAAAAAGATGGCTACTTAAAATAATAATAACAATAATCATAATTAATTATAAAGTAGGCACTCCTATTTTATTAATTAAGACAATTTTATGAAACACCCCAAACTCTGAAAGGGGCACATCATGCCCTATGCTAGATCAAAGTAGCATAGGGCATTTAACTTGAGCAATGATTAGACTAGGAAATTAAGTACACTTTTAAAATCAGGAATTCTAGTTCCATTAGCAGAGGGTCAAGTAGGATGATTTCTAAAAATATTACTACTGTTCTAACTGTGATAAATGAAAACTTTAATATTTAACTGCTATTCTTGGGTCTCAATGCTGCTCAACTGGCTGTTCGTAAGTGAACGAGTTACTGAAAATGCAAAGAAAAA